ATCTCAAGACAATTTTACGACGGCACCACCGAAGCGTAATTTAAATCAAAACAATATCAATCCGTGTTTTCTGCACATCATGAAAACTTTGAGGAAAATTTTTCACTTTGGAAAGATTGCAGTTTGAGAGAGGGCACTTTGAAAGAGAGCATTTAACCGTTTGAATCAGCCGCTTATGCCCAAAAGGGCCGTAAAATTTGCGTAGCAAGCAAGCCGCGGAAAACAGCGGAATATCCTGAAACGCTGATTGGATGAAACAAAAGTCTCAGAAAAATGGAATTGCAATAAAATAAGAAAATTGTAATTTGGGGCAAAATTTATAAGCAAAACTTACAAAAGCATTGCTTGGTAATTATTGGAGCCTAGAGGATACGGGACCTGTAAGGCTTTCGAACTAACCCTTAAATCATTATATTAGTGATGGTAATAGGATTGGGTGGAGTCTAATTCGGTCTGTAATCATACTCGTGGTAACAAAATCACACGACCCCGCAGTGGGAGTCTGATTTGTTTATCACGAGTAGGACAGAATTGGAAAACACGTAGTCTTATTACCAATGAATCATAAAAATTACAATTCATATAGTCCGAGAAAAGGAGAATCACTAAGTTATGAAAGAAAGGGAAAATTTTCATTTAAAGTCTGACAAAGGCTTAAGTTGTTTAATGTCGCTCTGATGATTGAAATCGACGTTGTGATTGGTCGATTTAACCTACAACTTTGAATCTGATTGGCTTATTGAACTGTCCGATAACAAACTGTCCAATAACAACTTGGCAAGTGAATTAGTGGAAAATAGGAGTTTTTTTTAAACCAATCACAATCAAGGAAATTGTAATTTTTATGATTAATACTGTTATCAATCATTATGACTATTGTTAATATGATGATTTGTTACTATTTAATTAACGATTGAAAGTCAGTTAGTAACTTTATTCGTGAATTACCTTTCTCTTGTACAACAAGATTCTCATAAATATATAGGATATGGCAGGTTTTCTGTTTTGCATGTGAAAACAACTCTTCGCCAATACTGCCTTCTAGCATCACTATACAACCTCTAGTTCTTTCCAATGGTATAAAAATTGTGCTCTATCAGTAGCCACATACAGTCTTAAACTGCCTATTTTTACATCACTCTCTTCAAAACGATTTGGCTCCACACATTAATCTTCCCGTAAAATACACTATATTACCAAAAAACTTATCATACATAGGGCTTGATGTATCACAATATCTACATAATATAAGATTGATTTATCTTTCAGTATGAAATTCTACAAACTTGGTCTATACAAATTTAGCCAAAATTTGTTAATTACCTTGGAAATTCTGACCTAAATTTTGCGGTTAATCTTTCTCTTCAAAACTCATATCACACAGAAGAAGAAAGAAGCAAAGGAATCAATTTTCATTCAAACATTATACCACTTTTTTGTTAAGAAAAATTTTTAGCAAAATACCAGTACATAATCAAGAGATCAATGGACTGCTGTGAGAGAACCATGAACCCGGAAATTACGCAGGAAAAACTCCACCTTGCTAAAGTGGAAGTTAACCAAATCGGCGAGTTATAAAAAATTGTTCGTCACCAATCGATAAAATGAATTAACCCTTTCACTCCCAAGATCTCATAAGTAATTCTCCTTAGTGTTTCCCATACATTTCTTGTGATCTTATTTCAGAGAGTTTGGTGTTGGATCAATCAATAATCTCCTAGTTGATAATTGTTTTGATTCTCATCACCAATCTGCTTGATATTGTTTAGAAATTGTAAGGAGAAATTCTGTCTTGGTTACACATGGGATTGGAAGGGTTAACAACTACCAGCCCTCAAATGACGAAATCGCTTCCATAGCAAGTCTGTATTGAAACCTGCTTTAAAACAAAGCGTTAAGTTTTTCTGCTATCGACTTTCCCTGCTGAACATTTTCTCACAATTCATTTTTCCCTGTGGTTTATATTTCCACAGTCATTCAATCACAATTATGTAGTTTTTCTCGCTGTCCATTTTTCATACGTTACATTTTCCCATAATTATTTTCCCCTTAGTTTTATCATGTCAGAGTTCCATTCACTAAATTGTTTTAGGTTACACTACTGTCAACCTATCGTACACAAAGATAATTTCCTTTTCTTCCGTAGGAATTACAAGCGCTCGTTTTTGTTGACTCTCAATGATAGGATCTTTGATACACTGAATCAGCGACAACACAACAGCTCCGCAGATGGTCGGAGCGCCGGCTAAGAAGAATAAATTCCGATATTTGCCTGTTGTTTCACCAAACCATCCTGAGGAACCAAAAAAGAGGGAGTTTCATTCAAATATTGAATCATTCATCTTCAAAATAGTTTTTTTTTTCACAGCTCCGACTGCAACAGTTATGAGACACATCTAGCTCGGAGAAGAGAAACTTACGAACGCCGACCAACTCAGGACCAACTCTGTTAAAATATTAGTCTTACTAGGAAGTCATAAGAAGGAGGCCAGCTGCCTGATTAACGAGCAAAAAAGGACGTCGAATGATCATTCATGGAAGCTTTAATTTAGGACTAATTTCAACCCCGAGAAAACCGTCCCGAAGAGAGATGGGATACAGAGTCTGGTGAAGTCAGAGACCCGTGACGTAACGCAACCTCGTCCCTTTGAAGGGAGACGAGATCAGGACTGAATCAGCCAGGCTAGTTTATAGGGAGGGAAAGGGCCAAGGAGACGAGGTTAAGTTCACTCTTACCTGCTGCTGGGGCACCAACCAACATAGAAAACGACATGATCATCAACACTGCTCCCCAGGCTACTGACATCTTTTCACGGTCCGTGCATTGAAACGTCACGATGGACATGAGCCCGATAAAACAACCATCCAGCAGTCCAAGTACAACCACATATAATACGAGCATGTCATAACCCGCCGAGTAGATAGCGAGAAGAGGAGAAAGTCCGGAAAGAACCATGCAAATATTGTATAACTTTATGGTGTCCACGCGAGGAATGTCCGAGATTTTTCCGAAGATAATCTTTCCGACACCCGAACCAATTCCGATGTAAGAAAGCAAGAGCGAGCCATCCCGATGTGAGGAGCCCATCTCTTCAGCGACGCGAACCTGAAACAAAACCAAAGACAAATTCAATCAAAGTTGTGACATCAATGATTGAACTCTCCACAATGTTGGCTGAACAATTCTTTCAAGCAGTTTCCGGAAAAATGTAATGAAACCAGTTGAATGAATTCATACGAAGATCTGTGAGGTTGTCTTCGGTACTGAAAATAAATGTTAAATTGAGTTTTGAAAGTATTGCGACATTTTTTGGTTCGAATCACCTCGCCCTTTAAATTGTCAAGAAACATCGCCGGCACTCCACTTTTAACTAATCAGATGCTAAGCTAAAACTAATCAAGACTAAGCACCACCGTTTCCCGCGTTCACAATTCTTTGAGTTCTCATCGGCTTCCTCTGATAATTTGCTTCGTTCTGATTGATAGCTTGCGAGCAAGCTCTCATTGGCACTGCGACATGAGCGGCGAAGTCTGTGCGTTTCGAGCGTTTCCAGCTGGTGATCTATATGGGCGCGCAACATAATTTTTTGTAGCATCTCGTGCGACCTTTGGAACTGAATTTTATCTTTTCGCGTTTTTCTCTTCTCTTGTAACATTGACAAAACGCGAGGCAGCCATTTTGAAATTTGGCGTCCTCGCTATAATCACCTCGCGTGAGCTAATTATAGCGAGATATAATGCAATCCTCGACCAATCAGAGCAGGAGAATCTCAGTAATCACCTGAGCATACAAATTCTGGAATAATCACCATTTTCTTTGGACACTTACCAAATGAACATGTGGAATAAAATATCCAAATGTTGCTATGGTTGACGCAACAGCCCAGATAATAAACCAATTATTTCTAGGAAAGCTAAGAAGTTTCTTCTTGAAGGATTTCTCGAATGTTATTTCTGTGCTTTTCACAAGTCTGTCCTTTCCGGTCTTTTTCTCGTCCAAAGGCTTGAACAAAAGCCCACAGACGGTTATAACAAGAGCAAGCCCACTCAGAAAACGATAGCAGTTTCTCCATCCGAAGGCATCTACGATTACTTGCTGAAGTGGAGCAAGCCCAAGAGCTCCTAAATTGCTCCCAGACGTTGCTATTCCTGTGGCAAAAGAGCGTTTCTTGTCGAAATAGTACGCCACCATTACGAGCGCTGGGAGATAGCTGATACTTGTTCCAAATCCCACAATTATCCCGTGGGTGAAGTAAATTTGATTTAAACTGGTGGCGAACGATGACAGTAAAAGACCAATGCTGGTGAGAATTCCTCCAACTATAACAACACGTCTACATCCGTAGCGCTCGCTGAGAAGGCTTCCGGGATAGCAAAAGAAGAACAAGGAGAACTGAGCGATGGATCCCACCCATGCTGTTGGAGAAGAAAACACAGTTAGAATTGAGCTGCATCCTACTTTGCTTGTCTTCCCTAAAATAAAATGTGCGGAACAAGTCCCTCCCTGTGCCGTCCCCCCCTTGCCACTGGGTGTGGTCAAATCATAGAACTTGTTGATTGACTTAAACAACTTGCCCCATCATGCGTGCCATCTTATGTGCTTTCTAGGGGGGGCTTTGCACGCAATCACGGCAGTAACAAGTAAATTTTCCCGACTAAGTAAATGACACTTGAGGTTGCCGGTATGACCCGCTAGTTTTTCCTACTTTGTTCAGCGGTCCCTCCCTATTTTGTAACAATGCACACATTTTTCTTTTGCTGCCAACTGAGGCACTGCTTTTCTAGGTTTACTTGTGGATTAGTTGGACACTGTGCACCAATAGCACTGATCCTCGATCGATGACACCTCGTTCAACAATCGGTCGAAATTTGTGCGACGTAGCGACGAAGTGCTGATCAACATTGGGCGATGTTCTACGGCTGGACACCCAAATCCCGCCAAAAAACTGCCCTACAAATCGTTCCGGAAATAATAAATTCATTTTCCTACCGATATCTCGGTCGACACTCGCTCGACAGCCGACGCACTTAGGTTCTTTTCTTCAGACGTAAGCACGTACGTCAGGGAAAGACGATTCTGGAATAGGAAGCCATGACACTAATCTCTTCCGCCAATCAGTAAATCAGCGAGTAGAATAACAAACGTTGGTAAAATTTCCGCACAGCCCCATACTATTGTAAAACAAATCTGTTTTCCCAATGGCAATGTATTGTTTTTGTCATTGTTTTCTCTATTCAAGAACTGAATGCATAATGTAGTATGGGGCTGTACGGAAATTTTACCCAAACGTTTATCTTCCAAATCAGAAAGCGGACTTTAAATTTCTCTGTTGCCAAATAACTGTTAGGACGTAGTCAAGGTCTTTACAGGGTTATGGTTTGCATGTATTTATACTCCCTCGAAATACTTGAAATAACTGACAGTGACATACACATTGACACCGGGCCAATATATAATTGAATTGAAACAAAAACAAAAAAAACTCCCTGGTGGTAGTAACCCACGCATTGTTAATTTGGGAATATACAATAAATGTTGGGGAACGGGTTTTTTACCGCAAATTTGAATTTTTATTTTTATCGAGTGAGATGAAAGGTGTGCTTAATTGGTGTAAACAGTTATACAAGTGGATCATGGCGATTTAAAAATGTATCGGTGAAGTATCACAACTGAATGATCAAATTAAATATTCACCGCGGCAAATTTGTTAACAAGGAGAATAGAATGGCCCAGTTAACATCAAATTTACAAAGTATGACTGCCTATGTGGTTGAATTTCACTGTCCACAAACGATGTAGTATAATAAACTGAAAAAAAAAATTAATAAAATAAACCACTTACGCCTGCTGATAACAACAAATCACAAATGAGTCGTATTTAGGTACCTGTCTTGGCTTTCGATTCCTTAAAGTGGTCGAGTAACGCAGCATATAAGACTCCCACAGTGTAATGCATTCCCAAAACCACAAATAAATCGCAGAATGCCGCACCACAAACAACCCAAGCCCAGCCACCATCTTTCTCTGTGATTTCTGCATCTTTAGCGGAAGGGAACTCTGAATTAACTGGCGCACACGCAGCGATTTCAGTCGTTGAAATACTTTGGTCTCCATCTGTTGGCAGTAGTTTGGTATCATACAAATCGTCTTCAAGTTCTTCTTTCATTTCTATTCGAGTTTACACAGAGAAATACATCTGTGCCTCGCACGTTCTTCGTTCGATTGGAATCAAAATACCCTCCGGTTCGTCTCCCCGCGCGGATGATGGCCGGTAAGTGATTGATAAGATCGTCTGTCTGAGCTGAACTTGTTGACCTCTCCCGTCAGACCCTGCAACTGAGAGATCTCTTTAACCTAAGCTCTTCAGCCTGGTTCAAATGAAAATACCCTGCACAGCTAATGATTCGCTTGTCTCTTGTCTAATATTTATGATCGCCTCGCTCCGACCTCCCTGCTCAGTTGGTAGTGGCGCCCCATCAAATAACATCGAATCTCATCAAAGCTAGAATTTTTTCAGGCCCCTAGCCTTATCCGATATCCGGTAAATCATTTGATTTCAGGGTAAAATTTCCGCACAGCCCCATACTATTGTAAAACAAATCTGTTTTCCCCATGGCAATGGCAAACAGATTTAATGTAGTATGGGGCTGTGCGGAAATTTTACCGATTTCAGTTTGGTTGCCAAGAACGTTTCATTACCTTTCATTAATCGCCGGTTCACGTTTGTTTCACGTCGTCTCACTGTTAAAATAATGGTAACAATCAGGCTGGGAAAATAAATGACGACGACGATGTTCCACAGCGCGGCGGGGTGGTATGGGGGGGGGGGAGGGAGAAGAAGGTCTGGGTGGATGGGGGAGAAGGAGGTTTAGGTGGAGTGTCAAGGAAAATCATCAATGCTCAAACACTGTGCAAGGTTCCAAAGAGACACCCAGCTCATAAAGCTATTAAGGTATTTTCTATGAAAAGCGTACCCTGTTTGGCATCATTTACCCGCATAGTACTACTAAGAATCTCTCTCTTCCGACCCCCGACCCCCGACGAAGTGACGTAACATCTTGCGGCAAACACATGACAACTTGCTTTACGCGGATTAATACTCATGTAAGCTGTGTAAGGGTTGGGTCATATCTAATGAAGTCCGACGGAGAAGCCAGCTTCTTATGTTAAGGGGAACTGTAGCCATAATATTGATATTAGTTTTGAAAAATAACGATATAAATAACACTAACAATAGTGACAATCAGTATCAAGTGTTGATGGCAGTTAAGTTTCGTATTTCGTCGCTGTATTTTTAAATTAACAGAACAATAATATCGTTCGATGTCGTTTCGATTTTCGGGAAACTATCTCGAAATCTCTCTGTGAATCAAACGCGGTTGTACGAGAGAAAAACCAGCTGTTTATCCCTTGCTGATTTATCACAAGATCGTAAAAACATCGACAGACTACTCGAAAGAATCGGCTGGACTCAATGATGCTTTGACAAGAAGACAAACAATATCTTTCTGATGCAAATGAGCTGGACTTGTTAATCCACATGACACTCATTAAAAATTTACGAGTTTAATAGGGGAGGTGTTTTCTGGTACTGCAAGTCTGTCAATTATTTTTGACGAAATTACTTAAGTTACATTCTCCTTGAATCACAGGAAGACCCGAATATTCAAAGGAAAAGCTTTCACTGGCTGGCAAAGTCTCAAATTGGGTGCACTATTCTTTGTCTTCATAGCAAAAGATTTTAAAACGAGTACAGCATTCCCATTGGAACTTCACGCTTTGTTTTATAGGAATGTTTCATGTTCCTGTCCAATATTTTACTCCAACAAAGGTCTGGATGGCAATAAAAAAATGATGTTGTCATAACAACCGTCAGTCAAGTCAAATCTTGCTATCGTGACGAGTCAAGCTTCAGGGTTTTCGTTGGGTCTTCATGTTGGGTTTGAGGATGTGGAATTAAGTTTTAACAAGACTTCTAATGTAGTTCTTTTCCGAGTAGGCCCTTCGTCATAGGGCTGTGCATCCAGACCGTCGAAATCTGTTGAATTGTCGGTACGATGACAGGAACCCGAACTCATCTTTACCAGCGTGGTACATTTCGGAAATGCCGGTTAACTTCGAGTCGATTGGGTTTCATTCTGATTGTTCTTAGCTTTATTTGGGGAATGTATCTCATTCAAGTGCAACTGAATGAAAGACAATCGCAGTCTGAATACTTAAAGGAGAAAATTATTGCATTATCGAAGGAATACATCGATGCAGTCGCGAAGGAGAAAGGCTTACATTCATCGGAGTTAGGAACTAATGGTAGGTGGACTTCACTTCCTGCACGCGCGCTGCTCATTAAAGCAGGTGCCTTATTTCGCTTACAAACAGATTCTCGGCAAGCCTTGCGGTTGTTGCATCCAGAAACGTTCGGCGAAGTAATGCTTTCATCTTTTATTTTCGTTACCGAGTTTCACGGGTTTATTTAATTTCTTTGGAAGAAAATTAGCCTACTAAATATTTATATAACGCTTTTATTTTTGAGAATAATTATGAAAGTTTCTGTCTTTATCTCCTCTTGGAAACTTCTTTCGCTGTGAAATTGGTACAGTTTCCTGTCGAGATATTTAGAACATTATTCTAACGTGCATTCTTTCGACTTTGCCTTCTTTCGAATTTGCCTTTTGCGCTCCATTACACAAGAACAAAGTTTAATTATGAACCTTGAATAGCACAAAAAAATTGGACAGAAATTGGTTAAATTTAACCTCGATTGTTCGGCATATGATCAAGCGAAATCGAGCGGCATTTTCCCGTGGTTATTGAGGTGCAATAAGATTACTGTTTTGGAGGAATACAACGGTCAATATTTTTGTTGACATTCGTTCGTGATCAATATAGTCGTGGGTGCAAATTGCCTGACCAACATTTCTCATCCGAATAAACTCAGTCACATGGTGTGAACACGCAAACAAAATAAAGGGCTTCCAAGCTTAAATGATAACCATTTATTTTCTTTCCTGCCAAAACGCTTTGCCATTAATGTACTTTTAATACGCTCAGGCAGAGGAAATATTGCTTTTTATGGTTTTTGTGTATTCTGGTAACTGCCAGGGGCAATTACCAAATATAGGCATGCATAGCAGACAAGAGTTATTTTATTGGCTGGGTGAGTTGAGAGGGAACAAATTGTGTACATAATCTTATGCACATTTTTGTTCAAATACAGTACATCACGCTGAGGTAGTTAGTAATAATGCCTGAACTGACACAATGTCCTCACTGGGTTAAATGGAGACACAATCTCTCTGGAGAAATTGCGACATTTCTCAGCAATTCACCCAGTAAATACAGGCTTTTAGATGGCTACATTTAGATAGCAAGTTTGAAAAGATTTCTGTATAACCCCACAATTTTCTGAAACTAAGCTGAAGTCCTAAAAGCAATAACTCTTGTCATCAAATGTCACATGTGATGAAAACACATGTGACATGTGTTTTCATGCATATGCATTAAAGCACATGCAATAAAACACACATGCATAGAGGTGCACATGTGTGCAGTTCCCATAAGTTTAAGCTTAATCTCTGTGCTTGTATCTTACCCAAGGTTAAAAGTGGCATTGTTTTTCAACTTTTCTGAAAAAAGTGCCATTTTATCTTTACTTGTGTTGTTGCTATTGTTCCAAAAAGTGAGAACTCAAAAGTTCTTGACATGTGCAGATGTTTGGGGATAATTAGTTGATCCAATACCTAATTCTCTGAACTAATATTACAAGAATTGTATGGTTGACAGTGACAGTAAGGAGAATTACAAATTTTATCTGGGAGTTAAGGGTTAAGTACATATGGTACCTATAGTTCTTTATTAACAGACCATTTCACATGGCTACCTTTAGATGCAATATCATGATATCTCTAGTTGTACAGTTTGCTTCTTGAGAGGTATTTTATAAAATAGATTATCTTAAAATACCTTCCACTGATGCAGCACACAGTTTCTTTATAAAGTTGCCCCTTTTATAATTTTTTTCTACAGGGGAAGTTGAAGTCCGTGAAATGAAAAAGGCTACTGCAATTCTTCTTCAAAATATGCTATCAAGGATAAAGAATCTTGAGAAACAAGTTGAAAATGTGATCATAAACAGTACTTCAGAATTCCAGCATCTCACAAAAGCCATCAAGTCCCTAAACAGAACAATCAATAATATTACAAGAGTATCAGGTTAGCAGGAAACTATTTGATTTTAGGACCTTACAGCATAGAGGGCAAAATTAGTTAATGCTGATTTCATTAATATTTTGTTAATTTCCACCACAGGAATATTATAGCAGACAGTAAAGACAATTATCAAAATAGGATTTTGAAGGCAAAGGGTCAAGTAGTCCTGTAGTGAATGAGACAATCTATTAGAGAGTCTTACCTCTAATTGGCCAGTTGATTGCTTGGCCTACATGTTGGTGCAGTCAGTCAATCAGTAAGTCAGTCAGTCAGTTGGTCAGTTAGTCAGTCAGTCTTTCAATCAGACAGTCAGTCAGTCAGTAAGTCAGCCAGTTGGTCAGTCAGTCAGTTGATCAGTAAGTCAGCCATTTGGTCAGTCAGTCAGTTGATCAGTAAGTCAGCCAGTTGGTCAGTCAGTCAGTTGATCAGTAAGTCAACCAGTTGGTCTGTCAGTCAGTCAGTCATTCAATCAGTCAATCAGTCAGTCAATCAGTAAGTTAGCCAGTCAGTAAATAAGTTAGTCAATCAGTTGTGTTTGCGGTATGGTAACTAATATTGCACTGACTGAAATTGCAGAAGAGGAAGGCTGTTACATCCCAGATAACCCTGCATATCCTGAATGTGGCAAAAAAGTAAATGTAAGTATATTGCAACTGTTTGTTTTACAGAACTGCCTTGAAATAAGTGACTCTTAGCTGTGCAGTTGATCATATTTAAAAATCATTTGCAGAGAGCAAAGTGAATATTGTACAATTAATATAAGGTCATGAGGGAAACAGTTAGTTTTGTTCTCCTGAGAGTCCTGATTTTTCCCGAGATAAAGTTGAGGGAAAACAAAACTAACTAGTTTCCTGAGGGACAATACATTAACTACTTTGTTATATATTTAGACTTTCCCTTAAAAAATCATATGGCTAAAAAAAAAAACAAACATGCTGTTGTATTCAGTGTGTGGGCAACAATTGCGCAATTGTATCCTGGTTGGAATACATTTGAATTTGATCAAAAATCAACCAATCACAGTGCTCATTTTGTGGAGTGAAAATCTAGGTATCTAAGAATGTTGAATAATCCAGAAACAAAGTTGAGGGATTATTCAACATTTATTCATTTATTGAGGCATTAAAATTTATTGTAGACTTACTCAGCTGCGCCTCACAAGCCCACAACATTTTGACCAATGCGATGATGAATATTATTGTCCATAAGGGTACAAACCAGGCTTAACCACTGTCAATTTGTTAATTAGCTTTTTGCTATCTAGTTTTAGTGTATATGAAATTTGTTTTTTTTGATAGTGGATTAGAGAGCACTGGAAATCAGACCCGAAGTTTATTAAACATGGTGTGAATGACAGTTTATGTTCTATCCTCAA